CCAAGGACGAAGGAATTTAGAAATCCTTTTAATAAAATTCTCTACATTAACAAAGGAGGAAGACCACATGATTATCTCAATAGATATGGAAAAATAATGTTAATAAATTCCAGTATCTTTCCTTAAAACAAACATAAAAACCTATTGATTTTTTTTTAATTGAAGCATAATTAAGCCAGTGAAAACCTACTGATTCCAAGTAAGGTAGGAGGAGATGGACGTTTCTGTAACCTGATAAAGGGAGCTATCAAGAGCCTTGATGGGACTTCACCAGGGGTGTTTCAGCAGGTGTGGGGTGTCGCCATGACAATGAGCCTGTCAGACACCGAGGCTGTGCCGAAGTCAGGAAAATGAAATGAGCTATAAATACCTGAAAAGAAAACATGAAATGGTCACTATTTGCAGCTAATCTATTGTCTGTTTAGAAAATCCTTGTGAGCCCGTTAAGAAAGAAGACCACTAAGAGGAAGGCTGGAGATGATCTCCACTTAAAACCTCATAGTTTCTCGGGCGCCTGGGCGGCTCAGTCAGTTGAGCATCTGCCTTCAGCTCAGGTCGTGATTCCCGGGGTCCTGCAACCAAGACCCTGCTCCACGGGGAGCCTGCTTCTCCCTGCCTCTCCACCTGCTTGTGCTCTCTCTCTGTCAAATAAATAAATAAAATCTTTTAAAAAATAAAACTTAATAGTTTCTCAATATACCAAAAATAGCCAACCAGAAAATGTAGTGGGGAGAAAAGGATCCATTCCCTTTAACAGCAGATACTGCAAAGCGCTTAAGACCGAATGTGTTCTGTGAAGGACACTGTAACCGAGGAGCGTAGACACACCTAACGGAAAACTATACCATCTTATCTGATGGGACGAGTTAATGCTTTAAACCACCAAACATTAAGACCAAACCATAGACACGCCAGGAGAATGCGCCAGAGCAGCGTCAGAATCTCGGAGGGGAAAATTCCCACCTGGGGCCACGTGCTAAATCCACGACGGGAAATCCTGACAAGTCTGACTGCAGTTTTTAAAGGTTGGTGCCAAGACACAAAACTCTGGAAGAAAATGAGGCCTGTGACTCAGGTCATGAAGGAAGCAGAACGGATACTGGGCGGGAGGAGACAGGCTGCGCGACGTGATGTGCCTGGGCCCGCGAGGCCTCCCGTCCTTCTGTTGCGTTGGCGTGCAGAGAACCAACTGCTGATAATTGTCCGCTGTTGGTTTTTGTTTTTGTTTTTAAGTTACGCATTAATCTTTCCTCCTCTTGCCTCTTTTTTTTTTTTTAAAAGATTTTACTTATTCATTTGACAGAGAGGGAGGGAGGAAGGAGCGAGCAGGGGGAGCGGCAGAAGCAGACTCCCCGCCGAGCAGGGAACCCGATGCGGGACTCGATCCCAGGACCCTGAGATCATGACCTGAGCCGAAGACAGACCCTCAACTGACTGAGCCACCCAGGCGCCCCCACCTCTAGCTTTCACTGAAGTTCTTTGGTTGTTCTTTTCCTCACTGCTTGAATTGCTTGCTTCACCTGTTCCGGGACTTTTTCCTAATTTTCCAGCATTTAGAGTTCTGTCTTCACAGGACAGCTGCAGCTGGTGTGCCCTGCACCCTCGCTCATTTCTAAGTGAGCCAGCTCGCAGCCTTGATTTTCCCTTTCACTCAGGGGCGGATCAGGGTGCTTCAGAAGGTCCGCCCCAATGTGCTTCTGCTGTTAATTTTTACTTGCATTGCCTTGCGGTTGCCTGATGTGACCCAGACGAGTCCCAAGTTGCACATCTGTTTGGCTGGTGGCTGATGTGTGCAATGATCCATTTGTTTGGTGAGAGCATGATTGTGCGTCAAAGAGGTGTGTGCATGTTCTGTGTCTGTTAGATCACTCTGCTTAAGCACTTAAATCTTTATTTTTAAAAATTTGGGCTGCTTTTAACACAGGTGCACACCTCACTGAGAACAACAGCTCTGCCCCAGCTCTTGGGGTCACAAGCGGCACGACCCGGTGCCCATTGCTTCCAGCTCTCACAGCTGTCCCCACCGCGAATTGTGATTCCAGATTCAGGGGCCTGTCCTCACTGTGCACACTCTCACTGGGGACACCAGCCACAGCCAGAGCTGGTGCATCTCTGGGGACGAAGCCCCACGCCGAAAACACAGCTCCGTCCTCCTCAGAGCCCCAGGCATGCAGACAACGGCCCGTGGTTGCTCCGGGGCCCCAAAGGCCACACTTGGGGGAGCCCAGAGGCCATCTCTGTTCCCAGGGGGGCTGCTCCCCAAGGCTGCTCATCCGGAGCGCCCCTGCCAGCCCCCTTCTGCAGGACCCCAGTCCCTGGGCCCTCGGTCCCCCCACTTCCGGTTACTCCCCTGTTTGGGTGGAGCGCCTCATCCAGTAGCTTTCTTGGGAGGGCCTGGGAGATGTTTGAGTTCTCGACTGTAAAGCTATTCAAGTTTCTTTATTCTGCCTCCACACTTGCGTGGTGCTTTCGTGGGTGGAAATTCTCAGTGGAAAATCATGTTCTTTCAGGACTTGTAAGGTATTATTCTGTTGCCTCTAAGCCCTGCTGTTGCTGCGTGATGCCCTAGACGGCGTGCACCTCGGGTCCTTTGCACGTGTGCTGCGTGTCAATCTCTGCGGGTTTCTGGGATTCCCATACTACCCCTGCTGCAGGGGTTTCCTTTCCTGGTCTGGAGCCGTGTCCCCTCTGTCTCTGGGACGTGTGTGTTGTGCATTCATTTTCTCGGCTCGCTCTCCTGGAAATTTGACTAGCTGGATGTCAGCCCACATGGTTGATTTTCCAGTTTTCTCATGAATTGTTACCCGTTCACCATGTCTTCGTTTTTGGTGTTTGGCCAGCCCTTGCATTATCAGTCAGCATTTGTGTGACGAATTCCTTGAGCCACAACCGCGCACTTTTGCTCTCGCTCTCCGTCAGGGGTCTGAGGTCTGCAGAATCTGTGTGTCCTCGGCTTGCCCCCCAGTCTCAGAGGCCCTCGGGGGACGCTGCACCCACAGTGGATGGCGGAGACCTGAGAGGTGGGCTTCGGGCAGGCGCTCTGCTGACCCTGCCCCGTGGGGGAGCAGGATACAGTGTAGTGGGTCTAGTCTAGCGCTACCGCCGGGCGGGAGGGAGGGACCCCCCACCCCCTCCACACCTGCTAGGGAACTTCCCGTGCGGACACCACACTTACGTGTTTAAAGAGTTCCGGCTTGCCGTCGGAGCTCTCCTCTCCCACACCACCCCCTTTTCTGCCTCATGGACTCCCGTGTCTAGGAGAACAACAGGTATGGGGCGGGGGGCTCTTTCCTGTCCCCCGAGTCTCTCTCATCCCTGGCAGAGGCCGCACCTGCTCTTGGTCAGTGCTGAAGAGCGGAGGCTCCACGTGCGCAGGTGCCGCCTTGCTAGCAGTCAGGCACTCGGGCTGGGCTGGGGCAGGTTTCTGGGGGCTCTGCCCTGGGCGCCGCACCCCTGGGGTCTGTTGGGCTGCCCATCCCCCCCAGAAAGGAACCCTCCTCTGCTGGGAGGAGAGGGAGAATAGCCAGGCCCTGCGGATCTTGGTGCAGAGTGGTGGAGTGGGAAGAGGGGCTGGGGACTTCACTTTTTTTTTTTTTTTTTTTTTTTTTTTTTTTTTTTTTGCGGGAGTTGGGGAAGGAGGATGCTTAAACCACAGAAACGTATTGTCTCAAAGTCTGGAGGCTGGAAGTTCAAAGCGCAGGTGTCAGCCGGGCTGGTCCCTTTTCCAGGCTTCCTCCTCGGCTTGTAGCTGACCCTCTTGTCTGTGTCCCTCATCTTCCTTGTGTGTGTGTCTCTGGGTCCTGATGTGCACTTTGGGGGGCTTGGTTTTGGTTTTGCTAATTATTTCTAAGTGTATGGCTCAGCAGCATGAAGTATATTCACATTGTTGGGAACAGATCTCCAGGACTCTTTTGTTTTGCGAATCTGATGCTGTCCCTATTCAACACCCGCATCTACTTCCTGTCCCTGTGCATCTGAGCCCTCCCGGGACCTCCTCTGAGTGGACTCACACAGGGTGTTTGTCCTTTGGTGACCTGCCTGTGTCGCTCGCCATAGTGTCCTCAAGGTCCGCCCATGTTCCTTCCTTTTTAAGGCTGAATGATATTCCACTCTGTGGACTTACCACACTGGGGAATGTTGTCACCCATCAGTGGCCGTTTGGGTTTTCCACCTTTTGTCTGTTGTGGGTCATGCTGCCGTGACCTGGGCATGCAGTGTCTCCTTGAGACCTGCTTTCAGTTCCTTTCGCTAAATACCCGGAAGTGGGACTGCTGGCTCATTCTAATGAGCAGTCTAATAAATTCCAGTTTTAATGTTTTGAGGAATGGGGACTTTGCTCTGCCCTTGTCTTTATCCCCTATTTTTAGCGTGCCCCCCCATGGCATTCCAGATCGTGACTGGCTGTCTCACCCCCCTAGGAGGTGGCAGGGGCCCCCAGGGCTGGGCAGAGTCTGGGGGGCTCTCCGAGGGTCTTTCACAGACAGCCCACCTAGGAAATTCTTTGACGGGCGGGGTGGGGGGGAGTCCTGCGTGGGTGCGGCGGGCTGCTGGCCTTTCCGTTACTGACGTCTTTCCCCCTCCGGCCTTGTGCTGACCCCTCCTCCGCCGGCCCCTTGCCACCTCGGTGTGTCCTCACGGCTCCTGTGGCTTTTTTTTTTTACTTTAGAGGGGTTTTGGGGAAGAGCGCCCCCCATCCCACCTCTCCTGAGGCTCTCGCAGGCCAGCTCGGAGGACCGCTACCGCCTGCCGCCTCCTGGCCCCAGCGGGAAGGGCCGTGGCCGCTGCGAGGACTTCCCAGCGCCCGGCCCGACCCTCGCGCGGAAAAGCGGGCTGAAGGGGTGGGGCCTGGGCGTCCAGGCGCAGGGCCGCTGCGGAGAGCCGCCACAGGCCGCGGGACGGCAGGCGCCCCGGCCCTTGGAGGCCGAGTGCGGAGGGTCGGCGGGCGCGGGACCCGCGGCGCGCAGGTGTGGCCAGCGCCGACCGCCTCCCTGTCCCCGCAGGTGTGCGAGCCGCCCGAGAGCAGGTGCCCGAACCGCCCCTGGAGCGTCAGCATCGACGAGCGTCGGCGGCTGGCCACGCAAGGCGGCTGGGAGGAGCCGGGCACCGGCGGGCCTCCCCGCTACTGCAGGGTGTGCGGGGGGCGGCCGGGAAGCGCGGGGCGGCTGGGAGGAGCCGGGCACCGGCGGGCCTCCCCGCTACTGCAGGGTGTGCGGGGGGGGGGGGGGCGGGGAGGCGCGGGGCGGCGGGGGGGGGCCGGGCCCCGGCGGGCCCCCCCGGCTCCGGGGGGGGGGGGGGGGGGGGGGGGACCCGGGGACGGGCTCAGGCGACACACAGCCCCTTCCCGGCCCCGCCCCGCCCCCTGACCCCGCGGTTGCCCTCAGGACATCGCGCAGCTCGTGGCCCAGCTGGTGTCCGAGGACGTGGACAAGGACGTGCTCCTCCCCCACCCCCTGAGGTCTTCTGAGTCCGCCAACGCCTTCCACGCCTTCCTGGCCCGGAGCGCGCCTTTCTGGCGGACCGTGACTTTGGGGGCGCAGGTCTCGAGCTCACCACCCTTCCAAGAGCCGACTTAGCCCAGTGTCTGTCTTGCAGCGCCTTTTTCCTGAGGGTCTTGGGGTAGGCGGCGGCTGAGTCCTCTTCACCTCCCTCCGGGGGCTCGTGAGCCCAGGGATGAGAACACGGGCCCAGAAGGACCCTCTGGCTGCCCCTTCCTTAGAATGCGCAGCCCTGAGGACTTGGAGGCCACCTCAGGGAGGGGTGCCTTGCCCCGGCCCAGCCTCCAGGAGGCCACCAGGAGGGGCCTGGGGGACAGGGCAGAGTGGGGCCTTCCAGGAGAGCCCTCTGCCACCTGGAGAGCCTGCCCGAACCTTCCTGGGGTCAAGCAGCTGCGGATGGCCTGGGAGCAGGGAGGGGGCCCCCCTACAGAGCCTGGCTCGTGACCAGCTCCTTTGCTGTTCCTCCAGGAGGATGGGGATTTTGAGGTCATGAACTGCTGGGTACTGATGCCCACCCAGCTTGGGGGCACTGGGTCTCATTTTGGGCCCTGCCTGTGGGAGGCCCAAAAGGGCACACATCACCCCCCGGGGGAGCAGAAGTCAGGGGCTGCTGAACACAGAGGGAGGCTTCCTGGACGAGGTGGTGCCTCCCCAGCTCAGCACAGTGGTTGGTGAACAGGCCAAGAAAGCAGTGTGGGCAGAGGGCATGGGGAAGCTGTGAGGAGCTGGCCCTGGGCCCGCAGAGGTGTCTGCTTCTGGAGGTTGAGGGGTGGGCGGAAGGGTTCTGAGCTGGGGGTGACGAGGCAGAGCTGCATTCGGGGAGAGGAAGCTGGAGGAGGGAAGGAGGGGGACGATGCAGGCTCCCAGCCCTCAGGGGCCATGGAAGGACAGCTGCGGGGGGTGGCGGGGTGTGCCATCCCCGGGACTTGGCCCCTGACTCTCAGGGGCTGACGGGCTCCTGTGTGGGGGTAGCTGGCTGGAGGGAACTTTGGGTAAGAGGAGGTGACCAACCCCAGGCCTGGGGTGAGGGCACACAGCTGGGCACCTGCCTGTAGCGGCCTCCCTTGGTCCTGGAGCCTGCTTCTGAGAGGCTGCTGGCCCACAGGTCAGTGGAAGTGTCCTGAGGGGTGAGGTTCAGGCCTCCTCCCCCTCCCCCTCAGGGACCCTGATGAAGTGGGGGGTGGGTGTCATGGGCCAGGCTCCATGCTGGGCAGGAAGTCCCCCACCCCAACTAGTGCTCACAGTGCAGAGTGGGAGCTAAAGTGCCAACAGTCAGGGTAGAGGTGACAAGAGCTTTGGAGTTTTTTGTCACGGAGTGGCTTTAAAGGACTCCCATGTTGGCACTAGAGATCCGGTGGTTCACCCGGCTGACCTACCAGTTCTGGTCTTGCTTGGGGCGGGTCATGAGGCTGCAGTCAGATGGTGGTGAGTCCAGGATGCCCGGATGGCCAGCTCTCTGCCTTTCACGTGCTCTCGGTGCCTCCGCCCAGCAGGCAGCCGGCTGCCCGGGGGGCCCAGCACCCAGCACTCCCACCACGGCGGCAGAGCAGAGGGGTCTGGGAGGGCTGAGGCCCCCAACTGGGCAGCATCCTCTGCTGCCTCCTCCGTGGTTACCGTGGTTACGAAGGCCTCAGGACCAGCCTGGTGGCCTCCTCCTGTAGAGCGCAGTGCCCAGGACAGGTGTCACTCACCAGCCAGGGACGGGTTTGCTGTCACCGGGAGGGCTGGCTTCTACTGCTGCCCCAACCAGTCACCGCCGCAGACTTCATGTCTTCAAATTCCCTGGCTGGGGGCTCTGTAGAAGTCCAAAATGGGCCTCCCAGCCTAAGAGCAGGCCGCGGGCAGGGCTGCCTGCCCTTCTGGAGGCCCTTGGGGAGAATCTGTTCCTGGCCTTTTCCAGCTTCTGGAAGCTGCCCGCATGCCGTGGCACGGGGCCCCTCCCTCCGCCTTCAGAGCCGCACCAGGCCCCGGTCATGGCTGAGCAGTCCTCCTGCTGGCACATTAGCAGGTTTGGGGTGAGACGTGGACATCGTCTGGGGGGGGCGCTGTGCCTTCCACAGGGGCTCCTGGCATCGCTGCTTCACGTCCACAGAACACAGGACTGCCCCCAACAACCAAGGATGATCGGGCCCCAAATGGGAACAGTACTCCCGCCGAGAGTCCCAGGAAGGGAAGAGGGTCCACCCAGCAGAGTGGGCGTCAGCAGGACGAGCAGAGAGGGAGAGTCTTGGGGCAGCATCAGTCTGGCGAGGACATCACCTGGGCCACCCCCGGCCACGGACACTGCAGCACCCCTCCACGTCCACTCTTTGTCTCATTTTTATTTTCTGTATTTCTTTTGAGAGAGCACAGGTGGGCACAGGGGCAGAGGGAGAGAGAATCCCAACCAGACTCCCCAGTGAGCACAGAGCCCGACCCCACAACCGTGAGATCACAACCTGAGCTGAAATCGAGAGCCAGACGCTTCACAGACTGTACCCCCCCAGGTACCCCCCATGTCTATTCGTCACTGCCCATTCCCTCCCTTTCAGCCAGGTGGGTCTCTCCTCAAGCTCCAGGAGGAACAACACACCTCCCCAGGACTCTCAGAGACATCCCCGGGGGGGGCATTTGGGGACATCCCTGGGTGCTCTGGTGGCAGGGCAGACAGTGTCCCACACGCAGGCTTGCCCGGGCTGGCTGCATGATGTCCCTCGCGCCCTACACCTGTGTGTGCTCACGAGGGAGGCCAGCCTGGAGCAGGGAGCAGAGAGAGGAGGAAGGGAGGTGTGTGCTGGGGGGTGTCGTCTGTGCCCTCCCGAGCGAGGGCCAGCAGACGACTACGACCCAGCACTGCCCCTGCTGAAAAAAATGACTTCGTGGGCTTTGCAAGAACACACTCACTATTCAACAATCCAACACTAAAGTTTTAAAAATCTCGCCCACAATTTCATCAAGATAAGGCTGTTGACATTCGGAGTATTTCTAGAGATCTAGGCAGTGAGGAGAGAGCATGTGGAAACACAGAATAAGTACAGAGCTCCTCCCTGCAAATTTAAAAGATTTTAATTTTAAGGGAAAACATGATTGCTGAATTAGACGAATGCATCTTCACCCCAAGTTTAAAAGCTTCTCCTAAGATTATTTTTAGAAATTGCAAAAATCAAGAGACGGTGTCACGTGGCTTTGGCAGCGCCCTCCCCTCAGACAGCCTTGGCTGACGTCCGGCTTCAAGTGCTGAGGAGCTGACGCCCCCGCCCGCCGAGGCCGTCATTCCCACTCGGGGCTGGACCGGCCTCGGGCCTGCACCCACCAGTCCCCCTGCACCGCGCAGGCCGTGGGGAGGTCTCCACCCCCACGTGGCCACTCAGTCTTTGCTTTGCTTGTATCCTCATTGGCTTTCCATGAAAGACTTCGTCCCTCGGGTTCTTCGCGGCTTACAGACGTTTGCCTGTACGACTCGCGCGAGTCGGGGCGGGTGACCCGTCCTTCCTTAGCCGCTGCTCGCTTTCCCTCCAAGCCGGCTTCGCACACTGAGTGCTGGGCAGGAACGCAGGCCCAGCGGCGGGTCTGTCTTGCACGTGACCTGCTCTTTCCGAAAGTCCGGTGACTCGGGCAAGATGGGCCTCAGTGCAGATGCCACTCCGTCGGGACTTCTGGAACAGGGCGTGCGGGCCCCTCGGACTCACTTGCAGATTTCCAGAGGCTCTGCCTCTGGCGCCGTGTGCTTCCCTGTGTGTCCTGGCCCGCTTCCTCCCAGCCCTCACTACGCAGCCGCCGAGGGGCACCCGAAGAACGGTCACTGGGAGCCCTCAGTGTGGCCCCATGGGGCGCTGCACCTGTACAGTACCGTGGTCCCCGAGTGGCCACCGCCTCCACCGCGGGTCCCCCCTTCCCCAGTGTCCTGATCTCTTTCAACAGCCGTGCCCCTCAGTATGACCACTCTGCCCCCTTGCCCTCGTCATTTTGGCATCCGTGTATTATTCACAACGCACTGGCCTGCATGCTCCCCCAGGGCAGAGACCCTGTCTCCCCACCCCCTGCCCCGTCTAAACAGTGGGGCATGAAGTAGGTGCTTAACAAGTCATAACCGAATAAGTTATTGTTTCACTTGCTCTGTCTCGCCCCCAGATCATCTCTGGCCTTTCCCACACCAGTAACCCAACATCCTGCCCCTTGCTGTTCCTGACTTATTCTAGCAATGGTGTGATTTTGAGGAAATGTGTTTCCTCAGCTCTTAACTCTCACTCCCATCCTGCTGTTTTGTCACCCAGTATTGGAGCTTCTGATGACCGATGGCATGTGTGGACCACGTTCCCATGGCCTCCGGCACTCCTGCAGGGTTTCCACTGGCCCCTTGCCCCCTCCCTCCTCCAGTTTCTCTGTTGTTGGATGCGTGGAGGTGGCTGGAGGTGGCCGCCAGGCCTTCATTCCTGTTCTGACGCGAGGAGCCATCCCCTGAACGTCTATTTGCCCTGCTAATAAATGAATGGATTCCTAAATCTCATTTGCAACCCATCTGAGATCTACTGACTGCCTCAGAGCAGGGCAGGGCACTGCATGCAACGTCCCCTTTCCTCTTGTTAGTCTGGAAAGGGGAGAAAGCAGGCCCCAGCCGGAGCCGCCGGGCTCCGTGGGGTCCCAGGTCTTAGTAAATGTCACTCTGCTTTGTGAGGGGCGTATCCCTACCCTTCCTGGGGAAGCTTGGGGTCTGGATGTCTTCCCTGAGACCCTGGACCCCAGTGGCCCTGCTGCCCATTCCCCAGCCGCGCTTGTCCTCTGTCCGCATCGCAGGGAGGAAGTCGGCCTGCACCTCTCAGTCGGCTTCCCTCCTTCTCAGGATGAAGCCCACCCTGTCTCTGCGATGGAGGCGGAAGCAGGCTCTTCACAAGGCATGATGTTTCGGGCTCTCTCCATGACTAAAGGCTGCCTGGGTATCTTTTGGTAGTTCTAACTTTTCGGTCGATTATTGAGTACTGGAAGATTTTATGATGCAGCGTCACCGTCCAGATGAGGAGGTTCGGAGTTCAGGCCAGGGCCTTAACAAGGGGGCCTATGGGGAAGGAGGGACACCACCACCACCTCCCCATTTGGAGAACCTGCTCAACCTGTTCACCCCTTGCCCCATACCTAAACCCCTCCTCCCCTCTCCCCTTCCAAACACCATCAACGCCGCTCCCTTGGCTGCCCTTGCTCAGACAGCTGGTGGCCCGCTCTGCATGGTGGGCATTTCCTTTTCTGGAGAGCTGGGCTGCTCAACAGCCTGTGGTTGCAGCCCACTGCCCTCCTTGGAACCCCTGGCTTTTACCCCAGCACCTGCTCTGGGCTCCTGGCCCACCTTCCTAGTCCCTTGTAGGGGCCTGTGGGCTCTGTCCCTGGGGGCCTCCCCCACCGCTGGGGAGCCCTGTCCCCTGGATGCTTCCCTCCTTGCCCCATAGGGATGTCCCTCAACATCATCCCCTCCAGCCACACACCTGCCCCCTCTGAGGAAAGGGCATTAACCCACGGTAGTGCTCAGACCAGCAACTAGGAGCCCAGACACTTCCTTTTTCTTGCCCCCCAGCAGTGATGTCCCTCCTGGCTCCAAACTCTGGCTGGGGCCTGCTTCTCCCCCCCCCCCCCCCCCCCCCTGGGATCCCCCCCCCCCCCCCCATCTCCTCCTTCCCCGGGGCCACCAGTCTTGCCTGCTCCACAAGGGTGTCCTCTGGGAGCAGCACCTCCGATCCTCTGGCTTTTTCATCCGGCCGCAATTCAGGGAGGCCGCACCAGCTGCGGAACTAGCCCACATGGTGGTGGCTGGGGGCACCCCCACTGTCCAAGCATGGCCACGGGGGCTGGGCAGTAAGGGCCGGGACAAAGACCCCTGGGGTGAGTGGAGAGAGCCAGGCCTGGAAGGGAGGTGTGGAACGGGGCCATGTGGTCAAGGCTGGGCAACTGAGCTTCAGGGCAGCGGGGGACTTGGGAGAGCCACCCTCCCCAGGGAGGGGAGAGTGGGACCGAGGGGGCGGGAGGCCCTGGAAAGGACTCCGGACCAGCGTGGAGGGTGCGATGAGAACCACTGCGTGAAGGGGCACCAGGGATGCTGCTGGCAGGACCCACGTGTGGAGGCACAGGGAGGACCCACCTGGGGAGAGGGGGCGTAGGATGGGGGTGAGGACCCATCCGGGGACGCCAGGAAGCCCCAGGCACAGGGAAGACCTTGGTGGGGGGGGTGGAAGGACCCACCCAGGAGGGGGCGCGCGGGGAGGGCTCACCCTGGCAGGCGCGCGCGGAGACGCGGGGAGGGCCCGGCGAGGGGCTCCGGGAAGGAAGCGCCCGGGGGAGCGCGCAGGGCCGACCGCCGGGGGCCGGGCGCGCGGAGGCGCGGGGAGGGCCGGCCGGGTAACGGCCGCGCGGTGGGCGGTGGCGCCCGAGGCCCCTCCCCTGCCCGCGGCCGCTCCTCCTCTTCCTCTCCCGCCCGCGCCGCGGCCCTCGGTCCCTGCGCGGCCTCGGCGGCCTCGGCGGCGGCGGCGGCGGCGGCCCCTTTAAACCGCCCGCCCCCCGCCCGCGCCCGC